CCCCCAAAGTGATGGTATTAGGCGGTGGGGCCTTTGGGAGGTGATTAATTCATGGGGGTGGAGCCCTGGTGAATGGAATTAGTGCCCTTATGAAGGAGATTTCAGAGAGATCCTTGCCCCTTCCACTGTGTGAGGACATGGTGAGAAGATATCTCTCTATGAACTAGGAAGCAGGCTCTCACCAGACACCTGGTGTCTTCATCTCGGACTTCCAGGCTCCAGAACTGTGAGAAATAAATGTCTGTGGTTTATAAGCCACCCCATCTGTGATGTTTTCTTATAGCAGTCCCAATGGACTAAGAGAGGGATGTAACAATGTTTCTGCTCTTGCTTAGAAAATCATCTGTTTTTTCTTTTTTGGGGGGGGGGAGGGTGGAGCAATGGTGTTCTAGCACCTATTTGAGGAAAGCAAATGGCCTGTTCGATACTGTCCACCCACCACCACGTATGAAGTCACTGACAACTGCCAACAGGCTGCCTTCAGCAGCCTTGTATTAACATCATCAGGATCTGCAGTAATAGGTTTTGATTATAAGGTTATAACGAGTAGATAAACCACCTAAGAATTCTAATTCTGTTGCTGCCTGCCTGACTTCCATGACGTATTTTTTTTTCAGTTCTCTCATGATAAATTAGGGGTTGTTAAACATTACAAGAATAATTTCTATGCCTTTCCTACCACTCATTTTACTCTGAATTATTGGAAATGCCACAGGTATGGAGTTGGGTTAGAGAAACCTTTGAATTTAGCACGTAATCTATGAAAGGTGTCATAATTGTAACTCTGGAGGAGTGAGTCTTTTCACCTAACATACCTCATGTCTTTAGTTTTATGAATGGTACTAGTAGTCCGAACTCAAATGTTAAAGAGAAATCATTAACACCTTTATCTAACAGTCTTAAGAATACATCTAGTACTCCTTTGTGTGTTTTTTCCACCACCACCAAGCAATTCTCCAATTCTCAGTGGACACTGACTGGGTGTCCTACAAATTTATTTCAGTTATGACACTACCTGGAGTTAGCGTCAAATCTCACAGGTTAAGGGCTCAGTCGCACAAGATGCCCCCACTTCAGACACCTACTGCCAGTCTGGGTTGTTACCTGTGCTGCTGACTGGCTGGCTATAAATCTGAGGTTCCCAACAATGCCCTCCTTGGGTTCCATTAATTTGCTAGAGCAGCTCACAGAACTCAGTGAAACATTTACTTAAATGTTTACCAGTTTATTATATAGGGTATTATAAAGGATACAAACGAACAGCCAGATGAAGAGGTACACAGGGTGAGGTCTGGAAGGGTCCCACACACAGGAGCTTCTGTCCCCAGGGAACTAGAGTGCACAACCCTCTAGTTCACCAACCCAGAAGCTCTCAGAAGCCCGTGCTTTTGGGCTTTTATGGAGGCTTCATTACACAGGCATGATTGATTAAACTATTGATTAAATCATTGGCCATTGGCGATTCAATCTTCTCCATCCCTTCTCCCCTCCCCAGAGGTCAGGGGTGGGAGGTGGGGGTGGGGACTGAAAGTACCAGCCTTCTGATCACATGTTTGTTCCACTGGCAACCAGCCCCCAGCCATAGGTTACCCAAGGGCTTTCCAAAAGTCACCGCATGAACGTAAAAAAAGACACCTCTATGGCTCTTATTAGAAAATTTCAAGGGTTTTAGGGGCTCTATGCCAGGACCAGAGACAAGGACCAAAGATATATTTCTTATAAGTCACAATATCACAAGTACCAAACCAAAGTTTTTCACTTAACAGGTTTATTTTAGCAGCTCAGTTTCATTACATTCTACATATTTTTTTAATATATTTATATTTCTATCTGTTCTGCATAGATAGCATATTCATTAACTTTTATAGTTGACTTTTTCGTTTGATATTTGCTGCTACCTGGCCTGAAGAAAGAGTCAAGGGAATAAATAAAACTCGCTTGGTGGAAAAGTGGTGCAGCATTTAACTTCTCAGCAGAACTTTAATGTGGACTTCAGTGTCAGCTTTTCTTCTTCTTCTTTTTCAAATCCTGAACAGATGAGAGATCTTCCCTTGGGATATCGAGCACAACACTTACGCAGTTCTCGGATGACAGCCTGACACTTAGATTCCATGTAGTTGTTGGCTGAAAAACAAGACAGGCAGACCCTAGTCATGATCTCCTAGGACTGAGGCACTTAGATCAGCACTTCCCACTCCTTTCCACTTTATTGTATCTACAGACCTGGAAGAAAGAGGATGTACCCACGTTCACTGAATTATTTCTGATTTAGAGACAGTCAACAGGTTATTTAGGAAGAAAAGTAGGATTTACAAAGTGGTTGAAAGATATTTTTATATTTAATTTCCTTTGCTTTAAGGTTGAGTTAATAGCTTTTGTGCCTTTTTCTAGGGCAGTGGTTTTTAACCTCCCCTCTCCTCTTCTTGGGGTCACTAACCCCTTTCTTAATTTGGTGAATTAGAAAAATGCAGGCAGAATGCACATTATTTTGCATACAGTTTAAGGTGGCTGCTGGACCTTCCCTACCAAGTCAGTGAATCAGGTTGGCAAACTACAGCCTCAGGGTTGAATTCAACCCTTTTTCACAGCTGTGAGCTAAGAATGGTTTTTACTTGTTTAAAGGGTTGTAAGCACACACACACTATACAACAAAGATCTCCTGGCTGCCAAAGCCTAAAATATTTCCTGTTTGGCCCTTTACAGAAAACATTTGCAGACCCCTGCTATACACAGACCCTAAGTCAAGGAGGATTTGACCTGAAGGTTCTAGGTCAGCTGCAGTTGATCTGAGTCCCCTGGTACTAATATGGGGTGCATGGGAGTTAGCCCAGGATAGGAAAGACAGTTCTGACTAGAGTACAGTCATGTGCTGCATCACGACATTTTGGTCAACGATGGACCACACAGATGACGGTGGTCCCATAAGATAGTACCATACAGCCTAGGTGTGTAGTAGGCTGTACCACCTAGGTTTGTATAAGTACACTCTATGATATTCACACAAAGACAAAATTGCCTAACAACGCACTTCTCAGAACATATCCCTGTCATGAAGCAACACATGACTGTATAGTGGGGTGGCTGAGTCCAGGCTTAGAGCCAGACCAAAGGGGTTCAAATCTTCCCTGTACCCCTTACTAGTTGTGTGGCCCTGAGTAAACTGCATAACTTGTGTCCATTTCCCCATCTATAAAATGGAGGTCATAGTAGCATCTACCTCATGGATGAAATTACTAAATACGCTTAAAGCCCTTATGACCGTGCTTGTCATCCAGGGAGTCCTTAATGCTAACTCTTAGTCCTTCTAGCCCTCAATCCTTCCACACTAGCAAGGGGGTGTAACCAGCTCTAACTTGATTCTTGTTCTCCCTTAGCCATGGGTTGCTAATTCAAATCATGCAAGAATTTGTTTGGGAAAAGAAACTAATTGTGAAGAACATTTTTCCTTTTTGTTAAATTTGGAGGTAGGGAAGAAAGAGATGAATAAAAAGGCATTATTATTATACCTTAACATTTTAGATTAAAAGATTTTATAAAACATTGCTTACATCATAAGATGAAAAGTCCAAGAATGAAAGTGAAAAGTCAAAGGAAATATACAAACAAGGGTGTTCTTTGGTGCTGAATCTTTGGATGAACTCTGAACATCTTTCCTTCCTACCTTTCTATATTTTCGTGGGCATCCATCTTATTTTTTTTTTTTAAGATTTTATTTATTTTTATTTTTTCCCCCCAAAGCCCCAGTAGATAGTTGTATGTCATAGTTGCACGTCCTTCTAGTTGCTGTATGTGGGACACGGCCTCAGCATGGCCGGAGAAGCGGTGCATCGGTGCGCACCCGGGATCTGAACCCGGGCCGCCAGCAGCGGAGCGTGCGCACTTAACCGCTAAGCCACGGGGCCGGCCCATCCATCTCTTTTACTTTAATAATGGGAAAAAATTATCAAAAAAGTCAGTTTTCAAATTCAGATAGCTTTGTAGCTTTTTTTTTTTTT